AAAATGATTTAAATTCAGGAGTAGAGAGAAGTTATTGACGAATCGTTTGTGACTTAAACCGTCAATGCTGCCCTACGGTCTGGTAATCACTATAATTGCCTCACTAAGTATGCAAAAACAGTTACCCCTGTTACAGGTGATAGTGTGTCTGTGCTAAATACATTAACATTATTAATGGCAACTTCTGTAAGGTAAGAATACAACTTGCTTAATACTAACACTACAATGGCGTTCTCTAACCTCACACCAGTACTACTACCACCACTAAAGCTGATGTTAATATCATACTAGCGATTATGTTCGAAATTTCGCAGAACAAAGACATTGATTATAAGGTCGCACATTTTATTCGTGCATGCAAAGATAGCATGCATAATAGTCACCTGTTATTTGACGAAAAGCATATGTACGTTCCCCACTAACATGGGGTTCCTATGCAGGCGGTCGTTTAAATGCGTTTGGTTTACAAAGCCTGACTATGAAAGTTTCAAGCGAACGCTAATTGGGATTTTGGGGGTAGGTTACGTAGCTGGAGCCCAACTGCGTGGATCTTCAGATGGTTGGATCGCTGTATTCAGGTATGCGAAACAGGAAACGCCGTGACCAGCATATTGACATCGCGGGCCAGGTTCGCCGGGACATGTAAGCGACCTTCAGTCATCAGGCTGGTACGCTCTTTAAATCGCCAGAAACGTGGAAATGTTGATAGAACTAATAAGTTTTCTTCTTTCTTCGTCCGTGTTCACTTACTGGCGGGCACAGGAAGTACAGTATGAACCACCCTTGGATATGGTGGAATACGCAAACAAGCTCTAACCACAGGCTACGGGCCCTTTGGCGCAACCCTCAGTGACATCCACCCCTGACCCCATGATCTCAGATGCACTCTCAGAATACTCCTCTAGACTCCTTGCGACACACTTAGCTCGATCGCTCCTCCCGCCGAACATATAAACAAGAAAACGCATCTGTTTCGTTACGCACATTATAATAATAAACGTGGCCACGTAATGGAAGATTGTTTTTTCTGACTCCGGAATATCTGGTCACCCAAATAATGCCACCCGGTGCCGAAAGCCGACTCTAAAGGTCAAGCAGAGGTGGCAACAGCACCTCCTCCTGCAGACAGCGCCGCGATGTGCGCTCTTCACAATCGACTACTCGCCAGTTCACATAGTACGATATATAATTAAAGCTAGGGAAGTGGACCTAGAGTAAACGGAAGTGTCATCATAGGCGCAAAGCGAAAACATCCCCAGGACAAGTCATCGAGGGGAAGACCGGCACACTACACCAAGGAGGGATAGATAGAAATTCCGCCCTCCTTACAACACTTCTATCGCGGCAGCAGAAAAGTGGAAGTGTTGTCAGTACCGGTGAATCATCTGGATTGGCTCTTTTTACCGATATGAACGCTAATGTATTGGCCTTCGACGTCATATCACGGTTACAACGTAAATTCCCTCACCGCAAATTCAAATGGGCTAGTAACGCTACGAGCTCGAAGGTTTCAGGTACTCAGCTGAGCATCAAAGGAATGTTGACGTTACCGCTCGAATTCTCAAGACGTAGTACGCATACTGCGCGGACTTTTATATGATTCAGCAGTTCAATTTGCCAGCCGATAGTTGTGGTCTCAATATTGAAGAACATGTTGGATGTTCATCACGTAATGGTAGTGTTAAGTTTGAGGTGTTTTCCTACACAGCAATAGGTTCTGCTGTGCTCACCGCTGGGATTGGGTGTTGTTGTAATCTATTAAGTGGAAGGGATCATGCGTCGAGATATCTGACCTCAACCACACACCTTCCAGCGTGATTACAGCAGCAAGAGTTGGAAGATAGTACCTGCAATGTTGAAAGTACTCTCCATTACCAGAATGAGAATTCACCCGCAAAAATCCTGTGAGCTGAAGTGAACATTGGTTTCTGCAATGATTCGTTCACTGCCCAGGGTGTGACAGGGCGTGACTGCAGTTTTTGAGACTACTCATCAATCAACATCCTATCAGAAAATTCTTTCGTTGGCGTGAACAACCCCGGTTACCAGCACCCAGCACCACCCTAGTGGTGATGACACATCCGGTCTGAGATATGGTCTCAGCATTCTGGTATATTGTGTTGTGGATGACGTTATTTAACAATTAGCGGCGGTTTGCTGCTCAGGATTTTTGTGAGCATTGACCCAATCACCGGACCTTGGAATCAGCTGTGTTACTGTGGTACACACACACAAGTCTACGGGATTGCGGAGCAATTTCACGTTATCAAGATTAAGAAGGATGTTATGTGTGTGATTTTTAGATATCACAGTGTCGAAGTGCCAATTAAATTCCTAATTCGGTATTGTTGCGGACAGACTCGACTGGCCAGGATAGATCAAATAACACCATGTCAAGGTGATCGATCATCCTCAGAAGACAAAGACACGCCTGTTAGGCTGCTTGCCGACTACAGAAATATTAGCCTTGGGGAAACATGAGTCAGACAGATTTAACATCCCATCATATGGCGTTAAAGAAGGAACCAACCCTATTTACGTACCAGCTTATGAACTGTCGCAGCCAGCGCGCATGGTGCAAAGATATGGTACAGGGTGTATGTTAGTGAAGAATGTCATTAGACACTCAAAATCCCTTTGACGGCACGCTCTATTCTCGTCGGAATCAGTGGATGGCGCCTATCATAATTTCTAGGCGCGTAAATGATCAACATTTGATCTGCGCCATTTGGATGATCATAGTAGTCAGTAAGGACGCGGTTTACACATCTGATAAAACTGCGTGATTTTGGCCAAACTTTACCGGCAGGACTCAAAATAAATTGGTTTTTTTTTTGTTTTTTGGTTGTGTTGCGGTGAGGGCATACACACGGTTAATGATAAAGTCAAGCTGTATCTCGGTTCGCGTCGTGCTCAAATGATGTTGTGCGTAGCTTATGGATTATCTGGTTATAATCGTTCGCTTTCAAGGGACTGTTATCAGCGAACGAGGTTGGTAAAAGATGAAGTGTTTATATGGATGTGAACACGAAATGTTTCGGTATTGAAAGCGCTGCCAATGCCCCGGTTTACATTCCCGGAGCTCACTCAACCTTTCACTCTCTGTTTGGCGCTCCGGTTGAGTGAGGCAGTTGCAGAGGACAAGTGGGGTTCGTCTAAAACCTTCGGTGATGCATTTAGAAACGACGTTGTTTGGGCGCTTTAAGGGTTGAAAGCTTTATCTTTGAAGTTAACTGTTTTTTACTGATCATGCAGCAGTCACCGGGCTGTTCCATGGCGAAGCTTATCGAGCAGATTGGCGCTGGTGTCAGGCGATTTAAAGTTGACTGGGTTGGTGGTGCCTTTTGGAGGTATTGTTATCGGAATCAAAATATGGCGCCGTTATGCCTGTATCAGATTCCTCTTCGCAGGTGGAAGATGATTAACGGCGTTACATTGGTCAGCTGTTTTTTTTGCTCTCTGGATCTGGGGATGTTAGCTCCCAAGTTGTTCTTCCGCAGTCAGTTTGAATTGCGACTTATACTCAGGTGGGACTGAAAATCTCATGAGGGTAATGTGTCTCAAATGTATGCCTGGCGTTTGCTAAAAGCAATGTGGCTATTGTTGCATTATAGATCTCAGGTCGATATATGTATGGAT